CAATCCTCCTGTGTATGTGTGGATGCTTGGTGGCCTTGGTGCCGGCAGCGTACCAATTGCTCTGATTATGCCAGGCTCTTGAGGAAAGTATAGCCAGGGATCTCACACACAAAGAACGTGTTTGTGCAGGCTGAGGCGGGGAGAGGGAGGTTTTACAGCGGTTTTAAGAAAGAAACATGGTAGTAATTAAGAGCACTGGGACAGAGAAGAAAGGAGGTTTTATGGCAGAGCCCCCAAAGACTGCCATCATTTATGGGAGGTACAAAGGAATCTGAGCAAAGCAGCTGGAGAGGGAGGAGGAAGTCTGAGAGACACCGAGGGGACCCATGAAAGGGGGTTGGTCACCAGAACTGAACAGTTGAATTGATCATCTGTAATCCTGATACATTTCACTAGGTAAGTGCTCAGTAATTCTGAGGATCAACAAGTAGAAGGTGCAGAGTGTTAAACAGTAAATGTGAAAAGGTCTAGACAGGTGGAATAGCACCTGAGCGAGTGCCATTTTAACACTGCAGTGCCTGTGGGACATACTTCCCATTGGCTTGTAGGTAGTCGACCCAGTCATTCTCCATCGCCAGCTTCTAACATCTGAATCCCCTCAGCCTTGCCCCACTCCTCACCCCTGAGGACCCTCTGGGTTCTGATTCCTAAGTCAAGTCTGACCGAGAGGAAACATGCACAATCACAGCCCCTCCATTGTTGACAGGAGCCACGGAATGAAGCACTCGCCCCTGGAAACACACACAGTTTGACCAAACCTGGGCCTGGTAGTCGGGCCCTTTCTGCTGGGCTGCATTAATGTGCTGCCAAACTGGCTCCTGCCCGGGAACCTTCTCCTCCTCCACTTTGATCCATTTCCCTGCCTGACGCCGGCCTCGGCCTCCAGCAGGAACAGGCCTGGCCCTGTAGCCCGGATATTACTGCCAACTTCTCTCACTCTCCTGAACTGTACAATGGGTTGTTTTGGCCTGTGTGGTGAGTGTCGCTTTGCTCATCTTCCTGGAAGAGAACGGCTCCTTACGGAAGCCCATTCTCTGAGATTTGGATAGACTGATCTGTCTGATCCTTTCAGACAGGTGCTCACGGGATTCAAGCCTGACCAATCAGAGCACCTCATCCTCCACTTCACAGGGATTGATTCAGGGAGGGGGATATGACCCAAATAGGACCATCAAAATCTTCCCCTCGACTTTTGCCAGAACCATCCAAAAACAAACAAACACCATGCACTCTAACTCCGGAGCTGCTAGCTCTAAGTCAGTGTTTCTGCAGGCGTGGTCTGTAGGTTCCAGAGAGTCCCTGAGGTCAACACTATTTTCATAATAATATTGAGATTTCACATGCCCTTTTCACTGTGTTGACATTTGCACTGATAATGCAAAAGCAATGGTGAGTAAAAATACTGGCACCTTGGTGTGAGTCAAGGTAGTGGCACCAAATTAAACTGGCAGTCCTTGTTTTCTTCATTGCCACACACTCAAAGGGGGGAAAAACCAGTTTCACTTAAGAGAGATCTGGATGAAGCAGTAGAAATTCTTATTAAACCTCAACCTTTTCTTACATGTCTTTATAATATTGTGATGTGATGAAATGGAAAGTACTCATAAAGCTTGTGGTGGCCATGAAAATGCGCTACTCAGATCTCCCGCTGGGCATCTGCTGTCCTCTGGACCAGACAGCACATATGTGCCAAGGCCCTGCTTCCCTGGTCTACTATCAGCCAATGATTGAGCACAGTGGGTGCACTGCTGCAGGTTCATTTTTTGGAGACAGAGACTCCTACACTGGTTGACTTTGGGTTGAGGACTGCTCATTGGTCTGGCTGAAGTTTTATTGAACTACTAGAGGCCCCATGCACCCGATTCATGCACTGGTGGGGGGCGTGGCCTGCAGGGATCGGCCCACTGTGGGAGCCCACTGACCACCAGGGGGGCAGCTCCTGCATTGAGTGTCTGCCCCCTGATGGTCAGTGCACGTCATAGCGACTGGTCGACTGGTCATTCTGGTTGTTCGGCTGTTTGGTCGCTGGGCTTTTATTGTTTTTATATAGGATACTACAGTCCAAGACTTTTCCTACCTGATTCTCTTTCCTTTCCTCTCCCTCCTTCAGTGGGCCAGCATTCTAGTCTAAGGATCCTCTTACCTTCCCTAGCTCCCACCCCTTTATCCTTCTTGGGTGCTAGTCCACCATTCACATCTAATCTCTTCTTAGTGTCTATTTCTGGGAGGTTCTATATGTAATTTTGCATCACAAAATATCAGAATTGTCTCAAGAAAAAACACTCCATGTGATTGTTTGAGCCATGAACTAAGCTGGCCACATTTTTTTCATGGAATATCATTTTGGCTGAAAAGAATGACTGACTGGCAAACTGTGGTTATTCAGACTTGGTGTTCACCAGAAGTTTCCTCAAAAATGAATGAAGTACCCTGGTCAAGTAGCTCAGTTGGTTAGAGCATCCTCCTGATAAGCCAAGGTTATGAGTTCGATCTCCAGTCAGGGCACATATAAGAAGAAACCAATGAATGCATAAGTAAGTGGAACAACAAATCAACATGTTTCTCTCTCTCTCTCCTTCTCTCTCCCTTCCTCCCTTCCTCTCTCTCTCTAAAATCAATACAAATAAAAATAAATTTAAAAAATGAATGACGTGAGCTTGTAATTTGAAGGAAAACAAATGATGGTTTTGTTATCAATGATAAAATTTAAGCTTTGAAGTAAAAATTGGAATTTTGAAATGTCGTATTATCTACCATGAGCTTAACAGCTTCCCAATGCTTACACATTTTTCTGATGAGGTTAAATGGTGATATTAAAGACTGTGATGTTGGAATATTGTGTAATGAAATGCATCAACATTGAAAGATTAGCAAAACCCAGTGAACTAATATTTTTCAAATGATCAATCCATGATGTTTTAAAATCATGCATAGGTAAAAATCTGTTCAAAGTGCAGTACAGATCAACGAATTTTAATGTACCAGAGTATGAAAATGTCATTTATATGTTTCTAGATTCCACATTGTAACTGCCCTTTAAGAAACTACCATTTTTGGCCTGGCCAGCGTGGCTTAGTGGTTTAGCGTCAACCTATGAACCAGGAGGTCACGGTTCAATTCCCAGTCAGAGCACATGCCCAGGTTGCGGGCTTAATCCCCAGTGGGGGGGCATGCAGGAGGCAGCTGATCAATGATTCTCTCTCATCATTGATATTTCTATCTCTCTCTCTCTCCCTCTTCCTTCCTCTCTGAAATCAATAAAAATTAAAAAAATACCATTTTTGAATTTGGGTGTAGTATCAAAGAAGCATGACCACAACTATCTGAAAAAGTTATTAAAATATTTCTCCCTTTTCTACCTACTACATATCTTTGTGAGGCCAGCTTTTCCTCATATACTTCAACCCAAACAACATATTACAACAAATTGAATTCAGAAGTGGATAAGTAAATGGAGCTATCTTCTTTTAAGCCTAAGGTTAAAGAGCTTTATAAAAAAATGTAAAAAATGGTGATACTCTTCTTAGTAAATATTCTTTTTTGGAAAACAGAATTTTCTCATAGAAACATGTTATGTATGTTAACATGTAATAGATTTATTATTGCTATTCTAAATGAACTAATTGTACGTTTTAAAAAAGTTCTCAGTGTTATATTCTACTGGAGTTAAATATTGATAGCTGTAATGCACATAAACAAAAGTTCTCTGAGGTCCTCAATTCTAAGAACTGTTGGAGAATTACTGCTTATAGGCGTAGGCAGCCAGCTGCCCTTTTGTCATTATGTGGCAAGAACCTGTTTGAAAAGGAAGCCAAGCGGAACTGCAAAACAGAGAGAGCCACAGTTCAGATACATACAAATATTTGGAACAAATTCCTAGAAGCGCATACAGGCAACACTGAAGAAGATTTTCCAGTTATATTCTTTGCTTCAGCCAGATTGAGGTGGGCTATCGTTTGCAACCAAGGGTACCGACCAATAGCCTCGTCTGCCTAATGGTCTGGCCCACACTCTCTGTCCATGGCTCGTGCCTAGACTGAACACTCTCTGGATGACATTGTACTTTTTGTTGATTTTAATTGGTTAAGTGTTTAATGTTTACATGCCTACAACATGTGACATGTCAACGAGTCTCCTATAATTCAACTCACCTTGTATGTAGATATATACATTTTATTTCAATGTGGGATTATTATAATGCGGATTAGGATCTCTAAACCCTGGAGATCCTTAAAACATCCCCCCAATTATCCTCTTGATTCATTACCATTGACAGTATCATGGGCCTGTATACCATATCATCAGTAACAGGACCCCGACACCACCCCATTTACCCTGCTACCTTCCACCATCCCAGTGCAAACTTTAATGTGCATATGAACCACCTCGGGATCTTTTAAAATCAGGTCTGGGTGGTACCTGAGATGGTTCATTTTTAACAAGTTCCCCGGGTGATGTCTGTGCTTCTGGTCCATGCTTAGCATCCTGAGTAATGAGGTGCTAAGTCCTTATTAGTCTCAGGTTTGACATTCCCAGTTTGTACTCTTTCTTAGGAGTCCCCAAAGTCCAGAACATGCAATGAATTGTCATTTTATTAATCCATGAACTTTTAATTGTGCAAGGTTTGAAACTGACAAACGGTATGAGCTACTTAGCCAGTGACAACCTGGTTAATAGACTACTATCCCCATTTAAAAAATCAAAGTCATGTATGTACTTAACATAAAAAGTCAAATAATGCTAAAAGGTTTGGAACAAAAATGTCTATCCCTTGTGCTCCCCTACATACCCTCCCCCCGCACACACACAATCTCCAACCAGCTCCCAAACACTCTCCACTATTTCAGCGTTAGTTCTGATTTTTGCCTCCATGTTTCTAAATAATGTGCATACTCTGCATTCTTTTTAAAAATTTATTTATTGTTTTTAGAGGAAAGAGGAGAGAGAGAAAAAAACATCAGTTAGTTGTTCTACTTATTTATGCATTCATTGGTTGCTTCTTGTATGTGTCCTGAACCCACAACCTTGGCATATGGGGACAACTGAGCTACCCAGCCAGGGCACTGCATTCATTCTTGATGAATAAACTTTATAGACACTATCCATTGACTTCCTGGACTGATAGATGAGAGTCTTAGCTTACATACACTCCACCTTCCCAACCTCCCTTCCTCTCATTCTAAACCAATATTTGTGTTTTTGTGATTATAGCTACATATAGATATAAATCACTCCCAAGCAAAGTAGCAAACTCTGATCCCATTGCCTTTCTTATACTTTTTTTCCCCCATTAATAGTTACCTCTTTTTTGTTGTTGTAGTTTCTGTTGACCCCATGGAAAGGTCTTCCCAGTTCTGTAAATAGAATTTTCCACAGTCAGATATATCTCTGTTTTCTTTTGTTTTTGTTTTTGCCTGGAGCTTTCCTCTAGGACTCTTTCTCCACTTGAGCCACTTCATCCAGTTCCAGTTGGAATCAGTTGCCCTCTGGACTTGCCACACAGCTGTTGTCCTAGACTGTCACTACCATCATCCCAGATGCCCTTTGAATCTCTCCTGTGTTGCATGTCCTATTTCCTGGAGCCATATCTTTGGATTTCTTTGTTTATTTACTTTTGTTTTCAGATCATACATCCAAATAACTCCTGAGTAGCATGGGAGGTAATATTTTTGAGACTTTGCAACTCTTGAAGCACCTTTATTCTACTCTCAGAATTGAGCGGGAATCTGGCCGGGTAGAAATTTCTGGGTTGAAAATCATTTTCATTTGGAACATTGAAAGCATTGCTGCATTGTCTTCTAGTTTCCAGTCTTACTTTTGAGAACTCCCATGCAATTCTTATAACTGCTCCTTTGTTTGTGATCTGATTCCCCTCTCCCTCCTTTCTGCCTTTCTGGAAGCTTTTAGGGTCTTCTTTATATCCTGAGAGTTTTACATATCGTGGTACTGTACCTTGGGGTGTGTGTGTGTGTGTGTGTGTGTGTGTGTGTGTGTGTGTGTGTAAGTTAAATTTATTCTTCAGGTTTCTTTGTGCCTGGAGACTCACATGAATGTTGTGCTTTGACCTCCTGGCGACCTTCCTGATGGCTACCTCTGCAGCTAGGTCAGTTTTCCTAGCTGCTGAGTGCTGTCGCTGGCCTGTTCTATGAGGAGCCAAGTGGCAAGTTAAGTGATAGCCATGAACCCTGTGCTGCCAATGTGTTGCCCTACAGTTAACAGAGATTAGGTCCACCAGTCATAAAACTCCAGGGCACCACGGATATGCTGGCCTAGGTGAGTGGTCTCACTAAACCAGTGTACCACCTCCATACCTGTACCCAGTGGTCCTGAGAGCTGTGCTCCACAAACTATGTTCCATGTGACCCTCGTGCCCTGAGATGCAGCTTCCAAAAAGGATGCCATAGTTCAATAAGCTAGGGAAGGCTGCATTCTATAGAGCCCCCCTCTTGGAGAGTCTCAATGGAATCTGCATACTCAAGGTTCTGAGGATTAAGAATAAAGTAATCTGATTAACTTGACTTAATCCAGTCTTTTCCCCCAACTATTTTACCATACAATCATTTTAATTCAAGGAATACTTAGCGATACTCCATGAAATACTGGACTTTAGAAAATGCCGTTCAACAGTACTGTAAACTCCATGAGAGCAGAAACTGTGTCAGCTTCATTTTCTGTGGTATGGCCAGGGTAGGGCCTAATACAGTGCCTGACACATAATAAACCCTTGACAATGATCTGTTGAATAAATGAATAAGTCAGTGAATGATTGATCCTTTTGCAAGTCCCTGACATCCTTAGTACTTTCTATAGTTGCAAAATATAGTGCATTAGTTATGTTGTTTTGCCAGCATTGAATTCTGTGCTGTGGTCTGTTGTCATTTCCAAATGATATGTTTTTGAGGATGCAAGGAGATTTTAGGCATTTAAAACGTGTTCCCTCTATGCACAAGGCTGGGCAAGAACAACTGTTTCCCATTAACCCAGCCACTCTGAGGCCCTCCCCTTTCCTCCTTCCCACTGTGGATTGGGCTGAAGAAGAAGCTCAAGCAAGCCCTTCCCAGTGGTTTTTCGTTTCCGTGTGGTTGGCAAAGAGCTAACGCTGGGCCGGTTGGGCAATAACGATGCTCCCGGACCTCCTTCTTGGGAAGTTGCCAGGCTCAGCCTACGTGTCCATTTTTGAGAAGAAAAAGGCACCAAAAAAGGGAGTGAAATGTCCTGGAAACCCTGAGGTTTAGAAAGTATAGGATTTGGGGGGCTGTGGTGAGAGAGAGAGAGAGAGAGAGAGAGAGAGAGAGAATATGTGAATATCTTTCTCTATATTATCCTCAAGTGCAGGAGTAATAAATTACAGCCTGAAGCCAAAGCCAGCCCCCTGCTTATTTTTATACTGCCTGTGGGGGAAGAAAACATTAAAAGAATAATATTTTGTGACAGGTGAGAATTATATGAAATTCAACACTCATTTTCAAAGATGGAATACATAAAATCTCATTACAGATCATCAGCATTAATACATGATCACTTCCAATAGATTTAAATAATAGAGGTCACTAACTTTGAACCCCATTAAGCAAAATGTCTTTCCTCAAAAAATAATTTTATTCTTCTCATTAGGAGAACTGTATTGTTTTTTAAAACTGTACTCCATTATTACATTTTGAATTTCATTAATAATAACTTCATAGAAATTGTTTTCCCTTTTGTTTTTTTATTACTAATTTAGAGAGAGAGAGAGAGAAACATTGATTAGTTGTTCCATTTAGTCATGCATTCTTTGTCATTGGTTGATTCTTGTATGTGCCCTGACCCAGGAGCAAACCCACAACCTTGGTGTATCGGGATGATATCCTAACCAACTGAGCTACCTGGCCAGGGCTCTTTTGCTTTTGAAGTGCCTATGCAATAGCCTTTATTTTGCCTCTTGCCTGTAAAGCCTAACCTATTTACAGAAAAGGTTTGTAGACCCCTGTGCAAGTGGATTATCTGCTAAGTTAGAATGCCTTAAACTGTCATATGTGGCAGGGGAGATGGGCATTTAAGTGATTCATCTAGTATTCATTTAATCAACTGTTTATGGGAGCCTCCTATGTACTAGGCTCTGAGTGTACAATTGGTGGACAAACTTGCCAGGGTCCCTGCTCACAAGGAGTTTACAATCCTGAGTCAGGACATTGGAAATTCACCAGCCTCCGTGCACTTGTTTATGGGTGAGGAGTCAAAGTGACACCTGACAACTTTGGAGTTTAAATGTGTCAGCTTGTCAGTGGGTCACCTTGGCCAGGACGCAGCTGCTCAGAGCTCTGAGAAGTTCCGGGAGGGCGGATCAGGAAGGAGGATCAGGTGAGCACCATGAGACCAGCAGCGGAGAAGCCAAGTCCAGGAAAATCAACCAAGATAGATTTTCTGTCATATTGGTTCAGGCAAGAGGCCAGAGAGCTGGCACCTGAAGAGGAAAAACAAGGAGGTGAGCAAGGCTGCCGGTATTGAGGACTGCTTCACATTATCTGCGAGGGCACAGGGATCCTCCTCTTGGGAGGCTCAGCAATTCTCAGACTTGCTCCTTCCTTTAGATCAGAATTCTCTTTTCTGATGGCTGCAGCCTCCAGAGGACTTCACAGGGGGAAGCTGGAGTGCTCCGGGCTGCTGAAGTCTTGGCCTTTGGTCCAGGCAGCATCCGTTGATGGCCTACCAGCCGTGGGCAAACTACGGCCCGTTTGAAATGAATAAAACTAAAAAAAAAAAAAGACCGTACCCTTTTATGTAATGATGTTTACTTTGAATTTATATTAGTTCACACAAACACTCCATCCATGCTTTTGTTCCGGCCCTCCGGTCCAGTTTAAGAACCCATTGTGGCCCTCGAGTCAAAAAGTTTGCCCACCCCTGGCCTAGACTACACTCTGTGTTCAGCTTGGCAGGTATCAAAACCTACTTTTGCAACCTTTTTTCAGAGAAAAGCATTGCAGGGAGGCCATCTGGGTGCCTCAGTGACCACTCCTGTCTCCCCACCCCCCCCCCCCAACCTCCCATGGAATTCTGAGGCTCCAGGAACAGGGACAAAGGTCAGAAGCAGAGCACCTTCCCAGGACATCCCTGCAGCTCCCCCCTTGCCCTTCTGCTGCCAGAAACCACCCAAGAAATGGCTCCAAGGCTAGTCATAGACTTAATTCTATTTGCCTGATAAGCGCAGGTAGAATCCTGTGAGCTCTTCTTGCTAAGCCAGGGAGCAGCCTGCAAACGTGTGAACCTAACTGGAGCCCTGGATCTCGGGTTCTGCCACTCAGTAGCATCTCTGTCATTTGACCTTGGCAAGTGACAACTTCTTATATATGCAGAGAAGATAATAATTGTACCTGTTTAAAAGATATGTAAAAAGAAAAGTAAAAGTCCTCTTTCTGACTAATGAAGTCCTCCTCCTCACGCATACATTATTAATGCTTTGGTTCAAATACTTTCACACTTTTCCCTAGGTTTATACTGACACAGATAGGAATGTATGTATACTTATGCATATTTTTACAAACCAAAAATCATTGTATATATTGGTCTACAATTTGATTTCTTTCTATTCAACAACTTCTCACATACATGATTTCAAGTCCACATATGCAAAATATTACTCTTTTTAACCAACTGCATAATATTCTTTAATGGATACAAGGTAATTATGCAACCTACTGATGGATATTTAGTTTAGTGCAAATGTTTTTCTATTACAACAAACCTTGCTGCAAGTGGACATGCATGTTTATAAATCTATGTTATTATTTCTTTAGGAGAAAATCCTGAGAGTAAAATTGCTGAATAAAAAGTACACACATTTCAAGTATACACATTTGATTCTACCAAATCCCCTTCCTCCCAAAGTTGTGCTAATTTACATTTGCACTAATGGTGGATGAGAGCACTCATTTCTACATATTCTTCCAAGCACTGGGTTCTATTAATTTTTAAATTTTTGCTTTTCCCTGACAACAGTGAAGTTGAACATTGGCCATTTGCCTTTCTTGCATGAATTATTTGTTTATATTCCTTGCCTATCTTTCTGTTTGGGTTGTTCTTGCTTGTAGGCATGTTTTTGTACATTAAGCATGGACATCTGTTGGCGGAAAGAAAGGACACTGTGTTTTGAAGTGCCTTGGGCTGGGGTAGTACATCTGGAGCAGGTACTGGGGTGCCAGAGGTGTGTGTTTGACATTAGGGTGTTTATCCTCTGTCACCAAATATTTTACCTGTCTATGTGCTTTCAAACTTTATCTATGCTGTCTTTTATAATATAGGAGTTTTAAATGTTTCACTATTCAAATCTGTGTGGGGTTTTTTTTTCTTTCTTTCTGGCTTCTTGATTTCCTGTCTTGCTTAAGAAGTCTTCTCCATCCTGATGTTACATAATCAATCGACTCTGTGTTCTTATAATACTTTTATGGCTCCATTTACTTACATTCATATCTTCGGCATTTCAAGAATTTCTATTTGGCGTAGATAAGGAATTCCTGCTACCAGCATAGATGATGCGGTTCTGAGGTTTTCTTCTCTCATCACTCTGAATGCATTAAGGGACCCATAATGTTTTGAGTAAAAAAAAAAAAAGAAAAAAAAAAGATGTTTGATGTGATCCTATCAATGTACTCATTTATCTGAACACTTTTACAAGTTGTTGATACTGATTATTAAAATAAATGTTAATTTGGTTATTCCTATGTGATGGGACTGCAGATGCTTTTAATTTTTCTCTCCTCTCAACAGTATTTCTTATTTTTCTGCACAAATGAGTATTATTAGTACACTGGAATGTATTTAAAAATAAAAGTATTGAGAAGAGTGCTATTAACCCAATACCTCATGTATGACCTAGACCTTGGCCTTGAAAAGAAACTAGCCTGTAAGCTTCTTGAGGGAAGTCCCCTATTTCTTAGGGACCCTACCTTCCCCTGTACCTAGCATGGGGCCTGACCAGCAGCCCCATGAAGAAGTGTGTGGCTCGATTGGTTAAATTCCCCCTCTAACTCCTCCCACAGAGGGTATGCCACACATGCTGGGAAAAGGTAACAATGTCAACATGAGTAAAGGCAACACAAATTTAACTTCCAGGCCAACTCATCAACACCCATGATCACTCCTAAATAGTCTTCAAAAATAATTTGAGACCAAGGGATTAGCCCTTGATATCCCAATGGTTAATTTGGATAGTGTCTTCTACCTTTTCTATAGCTTCTGCATTTACATTCTCTGATTTGATACTTGGGCCAAATATTGATATTCAGAGAACAGGTATGACTGTGCCCACCAGTGCACTCATGGACTATATATGTCTTTTTTGATATCTGTATGTTCAGGATATTGGAGACTTCCCTTTTTAGGCACCAAGGCTTTATTTATTTGAAACATGTGCAAGGAAAATTTTCTAAAATAATATTCTGTAAAGCTCGCCTTGCTAAACAGTAGATATGGAGTGCAGTCATTTGAAATTTCCCTGGAAAAGTCCTTATAAGTATCAGTTACTTACTAGGCTCCTATTCCTGATGGCCATTGGAGCTATTGACATGTGTAAGCATATTTGCCCTTAGGGCCAAATGGCTGGTGTTGCTTTTAAAGATCTTGTTTCTAGTTTTTCTTTCTCTTGTTCCCTTGGTTGCCTATAATGTTTCTGTCAGTCAACAGTATGCCTATCTCTAGCAGACGTACTCCCTGCTAATCAATTGTTTGTCATCTGTGGTAGGCCAGGAAGCCAGAAAACCAAGCATATTCTCATTATGTGTAAACTAAGAGCACACATGCTCCAAGAGAAGATCTAAGGAGGTTTTACTCTGAGTAAACGATATGAGATACACCGACAAGTAAAGTAATTTCTTTGGATTACTCAGAAGTCTAAGGAGGTTTTACTCTGAGTAAACGATATGAGATATACCGACAAGTAATTTCTTTGGATTACTCAGAAATCTTTGGGGATTTTCTTCCTGATTTTCACGTTGATGAAAGTGTTAGTCCTACTTTATAGATGAGGAAAGGGATGCTAGTGAGACAAGGTGACTTGGTCAAGGTCACATGGTAGCTGAGTGGCAGAACAAGCACTAAAACCTGGATGTCTTCCTCAGCGGCATGGCCCTTCCGGGTATGGCCCTAACCATGCTTTCTTGGATGACCAAGTGGCAGGAACTTGGCTGGGGCAGAACATGCTATTGCCTCTTCTGTGTTTGTCATCAAAAGAGTGGGCCAGCTGCAGAGCCTGGCCTCTCTGGGAGTTTTACCCAAACTCACAATCTACCTGGATCCCTTCTGCTAACAAAGCAGGCCTCTTCATGGTCAGAAATTAGAGCCTGGGAAACAGCTGTGTTTACTTCCAGAGGGCTAGTTTATCACTGCTGGGGCCTGGCGGGGATTGTTCAAGCTTATCTTCTCTAGATAGCCATGTGCTGAGGGCTGCACAGTTCTGACCCAGATTGAAATCAGCTGCAAAACACTAGTCCTGAACACACACATACACACACACACACACAACCTCCCCTCGCTCCCCCCGCAAGGCAATTTAAGCCAAATGCAACGCACTGACCGTCCTTTCCTCAATAGGCCAACTCCTTCCCAGAAGGCTGTGAACTGAGCCAAGCTGGCAGGTCAGCGAAGGTCTCAGGGCACTCTGTTGAGCCAGGACCGTTTCCTTGAGCTGGATACCTGCCTCCTGCCCCATATGCCTCGTTCTCATGTCTTCCCTGCAGGGAGACGGCTGAGTAAGAGGGCACATAGGAGAGCGATGGTGAGCATCAGGCTGGGGAATGCTCAGGAACAATAGGCAGCTTTTGAGCACTGCAATTTTATGCAAACCCTGCACTATTTTATTCAGGGAACGAAGCCCTTATAAAAATGGTGGAACCTCAGTCTTTCCCTTTTAGAAGTTCCATTCTGGTTGCTCCAGGTGGTAGAAAACTAACAAAAGGTTCCCGTCCCCACGGCTCTGATCTGGCCACTGCCCTTTCAGAAGCCTTTCATGTCTTCCTACAACCAGGCCCCATAAAATCCAAGCTATCATTCAAGACCCTTCATGGAATGGCCACAGCTTTATCTCCCTTCCAGCCCAGAATTACCCTCTCTCTGCTCTCAACATTCTTAGTCTTATTCTCTACCCCTTCCAGTACACTTATCACTTTTCACGGCATACTCTACTTATTTTTATGGGTCTTATCATTCCTACCCGTCTAGTCTATGAGCCCCTTCAGGGCAGGGCCTATGCTTATCTTTGTACTCTGAGTTCTTGCAACGGCGCAGGCTGTTCTGGGGTGCTCAATAACATTTGTCTAATTAAACCAGAAGCTCCCCCACAAGGCTGAGTTCACCTTGACAGAGACATCAAGACATCCAATTCCCCGCTGTCCACAACAGGAAGGACATGGTCACGCCATCCTGCACAGAGAGCATGTTAGACAGAAACCTCAAAGTCATGTGGCCCAACCCTTGCATTTCTGAGACGGGGAGACTGAGCCCCAAGCACTGGGCTAGGAACAGTGGATGTTATTCATTTGAGCGGAAGTTTGGCCAGCAGACGTCACTTTCCTAAAGTCAGACAGGTAGAAGGTGGTGGACCTGGGGTTGAAACCTAGGTCTGCTTGACTCCCAAACTCAGTTTCTGTTGTATAGGGGCCCCCCAGCCTCAGCCCCTGAAAACCCAGCTGTCCTGCTGATTTCCCAGAAACAGGCTCTGGCGGACCAAGGCCCGGGAGGGATTAGGCGCTAAGGCAGGCGGTACCTGGCTCCAGTCCCGTTTGAGCTCTGTGGCCGGAGAAGCTGTTGATGAACTCGGCCTGTCCCAGGCCTGGCAGCCCAGCCACCCCAGCTGGGCCTTTTCACGGAAGACCCATTGGGCAGGCACTAGAACAGCACACAGAGCCTTTGTCCAGAGGGCCCGGTGTTTTCCAGTGAGAAGTTTGCATTGGCCATGCTGTTGGGGCTGGAGGAAGTAGAGGCCTCCAGCCTCCTGCCCACAGGGCACTGCTCCAAGAGGGCAAAGCCTGCAGCTCCCAAGAGGGAAGAGGGCGGAGGGGAGGAGAGGGAGCGTGGGCCAAAGGGAATCCAAGGAGTAACTTGGGAGAGAAATGGCCTGGGTGGTATTCAGGACAGCGGTTTAGGAACTTGAATCAGATTTTGTGTTCCTAGGTTACAGTGGGCAGTGGAAACAGCTCAGGCTGATGGGTCACTTAGGTTCAAGTCCTGCCCCTAACCAATTGTGAGGCTTTCAGCAATTTTTAAAAAATCTTTCTGAGGCTCAGTTTCCTCATCTGTTGGGTGAGGAGATAATAGGAGTATCTTGCTGGGGTTGGTGAGGATCAGACATCCTGGAGTGTGCAGGGCACACAGTAGTCACCCAATACATGGTGGTCTTTATGACTGTTTGTAAATCTGCCCTCAGTTCCAGATTTATGAATAAAAGGACAGAGCTGCAGAGAACACCGGTGATGGTGACTGAGCAAAGGAAAGGAAATCATTATGAGCAGACCCACAAGAGAGGAGCTCTGCCCCAGAAACAGTTGGGGGGGAAGACAATCTGTTTCCAATTAGGGAGCAGCCAATGGAAGGACTGTGAACTTTAGACTTGTTGATTCATAAATGTTTTAAATTTAGAATGTGTATGTGTGTGGTATGTGTATGTGGTGTGTGGTATATATGTGTGTGGTGCTAATGTGTGCGGTGTGTGTGTGTGTGTGTGTGTGTGGTGTATATGTGTGTGCGTGTACAGCATGTGTATAGTGTGTATGGTGTGATTTCACCTTATAACTTCAGCCTTGTCTTTCACCTTCAATAGTGCTGTTAAAAAACAAATGTCAACTGAGTACATTTGAAAATCAATTTGGTTTTATTAAGTGCTTCATAATCGAGCAGCTTCCCAGTTAGCAAGTAGAAGGGCTGCTCTGAGGGGTTGTGTAAAATGGAAGGCGTTTATGGGAAGGAGCTACTAACAAAATAAAAGGATTATTTTTAGAATAAGATGTGTTCTTTTGGGGAGAGGGCAGGCAAGGGATTCTATCATAAAGATTGCCTCTTCTTTCTGGGGGGACAATTGAGAGGGCCCACTGGACAGATTAATGGTACTTGACCAGAAAATTCCAGATTGATTGATTAAGATTATATTTCTAGGAAAGGTTGAAATAACAGTTAGGTCAGGTATTAAATGTAGGTTTGGTGTCATGGACATTCACACAAGTGACACCTTGTGGGGCCTGTAGTTTTCTCTTTAACAGTGCTGAATAACAAAGAAAGGAAAGGAACATTTATTATGTAAATGTTTGAGTTCAAGGTTTTTTTGCCTAATTCTCCCAAAGTCTCCTAGACAAGGAAAAATAAGGCTCAGAGAGGTCCCTTATCTAAGCTCAATCATCTGGTTAATTTCAGAGGCCAACTTTAGACCCCCATCTGCCTGACAGCAGAAGGTATTGTTGACTTGACTCTTTGAAGAAGAAACCCCCAAATGCAAATAGGGTCCTTTTGTGTGGGCTGATACTCAGGCAGCGTTTTTTTTGTGTGGTATGTCAGCCAAATACCTGTGCTCTGTTCTGGCTCCCAGACCTGCAACTTCCTGTGCGGCACCTCACCACTCTGGTTTTATTTTTGTCAGCTCTTCCTCTCCACCAGCCCTCCCCCTAGGGAAGCA